TGCATGCTGGAGCCGCATTGTGTATGCCATGTTTTGTTGCACTGTGTTTGGAATAGGCGTTAGTCCAAACACGGGAAACGAATACTCGAAGTGATGAAATGTACCTCGATTCCCGATCGCCGACACTCCTGATTATACATGACGGAGTTCTAGGCTTTAGGTGTTTGTATGTGCATTTATTCCATATTGAGTTGCGCAAGTCGGCCCCTCGGCCATCATGCATCGAGATGCGTGATTGGTGGCCCGAGGGTCGAGACCTACACTCCCTTGAGTGGGGAGGGTGGTCGCGCATACATGTGTTGTAAATACTTTACCATGCCCCTTTCTTGCCCTCTGTTGCAGAAAACCAGAAACCAGCAGCAAAAACTGGTCGGCCGACCAGATAAAGTGGCTGGCCGACCACATTTTCTAGTTTTCACCACAAAAAGTGGTTGGCAGGTGGTCTCGAAGGCCAATATCTGGTCGGCAGCATCCCTACAGATTCCCAAGGTGGAGTTTCATCTCTCTGGAGCTTGGTGCAAGTTTCTGAGATCAATTGGAAACAGAGGCAAATCGAGGCGTCGCGAGGGATTTTCGAACAAGGCGACTCGAGCATGCATGCATCCTTTGTCATCCAAAACAGAGCTGAGGCAGCCTACATCATATGGTTTACATGCTTATTTACTTGCTAACTTAGCTAATTTGTTAATTAGTTAGAGTTGTGTAATAATTAGCTGTAGCTTATTATTCATTTCGTTGTGTAATAACTAGTTTAATTAGATTAGCTTAGGTTAGCTAGTTGGTTTTGTATTATTTATTCGGACTCTCCGTCGAGAGGGCGAATTTTGTAATAAGTGTGCGTGTGTGTGCTGCATGTCTTCCAACCCCACGTCTTTCTCCCTTTTATTTACTAGCTTACGATGGTTAAATTAGGGCATGTTTCAATTAGCATACTTATGCTTGCATGTTTGCATCCATTCATTTGTCTTGCATGCACTGAGCTCGGCGCATCATACTAACTACATCGTATTTCAATTCCAAGTTGAATATGTATTAGCTATAGCATCATCACATGCCATCTTAGAATAACCGAGCCTAGCTTAGTTGCATCTTGCATGTGTTACATTAGCCATCTTAACATGAACTAGGATCATGCATATGATTACTAACTAGTTTCTGTTTTGGCTCGGAGTACTCGGTAAACGTTTATACTTTAGCATTCTTGCATGTGTATGAGTGACTGCCATGATAGCATGCTTACCATGAGGCTATGTGCTTATGTGATATAACTGTCTGGTTGCCTGTGGGTGAAGGTTGGATTGCTTGAATTGGAACAATTAATTGAAATCCGTGTTTTAGCCTACTTGCGAGTAGCGAACCTCAAACTATTTTCCAAGCAAACAGATATGAAATGCTTTGTTCCAAATTAGGCGATCTAGTCTATACTTGTGTGTTGTGCACATCACATAGTAATTCTAGCTAATTAATCGGAATAAGAACGCATGTGTTTTCAAAAACGAGATATCATATTTAGTAGTGGCCGATCTTTGATCGGGCAAGCGGGGGTGCTCATAGCTGACCTTCCCCAATCGTACCCAAGTTCCCGAGCCGAGGCAACTTTGGTGATGACGGACACGTGGCCTTGCAACTTTGGTGATGACGAACACGTGGCCTTAGGCACGAGTCAGGGATTTCTAAATTCCCCCAAAATAAAATATTTAAGTGGCGACTCTGTATCTGGCAAAGCAGTCCATGTTTGGCACTTCTTTCTAAAATTCAGTTTTTCAAAACGATTTGCCGGATTTGGACTCTTTGGTGATTTATCAATCTCGTATTGCACTTTGCGAGATCAGATTAAGAACCGTGACATTGAGTCCGAACTGTAGTAAGCCCAATGAACAAAACGAGATTTTCCCGGGACGTTCGGGCGCGTCTACAGTTTTTGGCGACTCTGCTGGGGATTTAGAGAACTTGACTCGAACTCATGATATCTTGTTTTGACTACACTTATGTGTTTCTTTGTATTGCATTTGCATTGGTGCGCCTAGGACACAGTGTTTGCCGTCTGTTATTCCTGAACGATTTACCGGAGGCTCACTTTGAGCAGCGTGCCATAAGGCTGACCGCTTACGGGCTCTGCCACGACGGGAACACAAACCCTGGTTTTTACCAGGGCACCCCTTTTGACCATTCAACCTAGTGCATATCGGAATCCGTAGTGACCATTCCAAGCTAGGACGGGTTGCTTACCCGATTGTAGGTTGTTTGAAACCGCTGCGTGCGTAGTGAAACCCTAGCTCCTGGCAAAATAGGGTAGGGAAACCCTACCCCACCATAGGGGTGTTTTGCCTCTCATTTGTTTGTTATGTGCTTTTAGAGTGTGCCTCTACAAGGAATGCATGTATCAGTTTGCAAGTCTGGGTATCAGGCCTGAGGGCATCAGTATTTTGGGGGAATCGGTTTTACCTGAGGGTATCAGTTTACAGGCAGAATTTAGTAGAGAGTGCAGTCATTCAGCTATGCTCATATATATTCCAGTGAAATTGGACTAAGATGCTGTCTGTTTTCTCTTTTGCAAGGTAGTCTCGGAACCGTAGCTTCAGAAGGCTCCAATATCCCCTGAGGTTCGTCGGACTTGTGCTGATAGACTTTGTCAAGTCAGAAATTCAGTTTAAGAGAAATCAGTGTTCCTTTGCCAGAGATAGGGTAAAAGGGGCAGTCAGGCACATATCACCAGTTCAGCAGTTACCAAATCAGTGGCCCTTATCCACCCCACCAATGAACAGTCAGGCTGAGGTCTCAGTTTCTACTGCAGGGACAGATATACCAGTTGCTTAGACAAACCAACGCTCTATGGCAGGTATGGAAGAGATGGTGCGTCAACTCTAGGAAAGTATGCAAGCCATGCAGTAAGATGCTGCCCGTCAAGTAGAATTTGCCGCACGCCAGGCCGAGGTTATGGCCCAACAAGCAGAGTTAATCGCCAGGCTACAGCAGCAAACCGGGGCATCTGCTTCACACCCAGCTCCTCCCCCACCAAGAGTCCCAATACTCGGGGAGACAACAAATGTCCAGGAAGATACAAACATCCCAACGGGGCCGGCTTCGCCCTCAATCCTACCCCAGCTGTCCAAGGCACCCTGTAGACACCCCATTTTTGACCGTCCTCAAGACTTGGACGTCACCGTTTGAACACTCGGTGATTATCCATGTTTGTGTTCGTGGTATCTGGCCAGAGGCCTCGGCTACGCGCCTTGCCTCAAAA